CTCTATCATTTCTTTTATCATGATTTCTCTCCATCATTCTTTTATCATGATTTTTCTCTATCATTCTTTTATCATAATTTTTCTCTATCATTCTTTTATCATGTTTTTCTCTATCATTCCTTTATCATGTTTTTTCTCTACCATTCTTTTATCATGATTTTCCTCCATCATTTCTTTTATCATAATTTTCCTCTACCATTCTTCCATCATGACTTTTTTTCTCCTTTTTGTGCTTTCGTTGAAAAAATACGATAAACTTTTTTCGAATGCAATATTTCTCTTCTCATTAACTCTAATTATCCTGTAAATTTATTAGCTAATAATTCCATATAAATTAATTAAATCATTTATCAAATACAGTTGATGTAATAAGATGATGTTAGCACTAAAATTTGCATATTAATTATTTTTTTTTTAAAATTTACATATTAATTAGTTTTTTTTTTTGCATATTAATTATTCAAAATGAGAAGCTAAGGAAAATTAAAATTGAATAAATTTAAATTGATAATAAATTTAAGCCTATCATTTTTGGAAGTGTAAAAGATAATTATCACAGAAATGTTTTGAACTATTTCAATTGGGTCATTTTAATTTAATAATGATAATGATTAAATGTTTCAAAAATTATCAGAACATTTCTTTTATCAGTTATCATAAACATTTTTAAAAATAAAAAATAAATTTTACTTCTTTGTTCGTTTCAAAAATGCTACTAATATCTGCCAATTTTTGTTGAAATTTCTACTATTATATTTACCAATGAATTTTGAGATTTAAAACGAAAAATTATTAAGAGCATATGAAATTAGCGAATGAAAAGAAAATTGCAAATTTAACATAAGGAAATCGTTATTTAGAAATTCATACTTTGAGTTAATTAGTTAATTAATTAAATGTATACTTTTAGGTTGATTAGTCAATTAATTAATTAATTGGCGATCAAATGATTCATACGACATATTCAGCTTTTTTTTTTTCACTTTCAGATTTCCTCAATTATATAACAAATAGCATCAATGTGCAACACTAATAGTTAAATTAAATTTAATAATTAAGGAATGATAAAAAGATTTTTAGAAATGATTTCCTAACATTCTTCCTATCATTTCCATTCATTACAATCCATATTATCCGGCATACGATATTTCATACCTGTTAGATACCGGAAATTTGACCTGATATTAATCTTCCTGTTGTTCACTTAATTCGTTTATTTAAACTAACATTACGTTATCAGTGTTATCAATAAGAAAGCATTTTTTGAAAAAAGCAATCATTATTGCTATAAATTTTCTTTTACTACTTTTCCCCACTTTCATCTTAATTTTGACTTGATGCCGTATTCTATTCCTTGTAACATCATTTCTTATCAGTTAACATGATATCATCTCTTATCAGTTAACATGACATCATCGCATCAGTTAATATGACATCATCTTATCAATTAATATGTACATCATCTTACCAATGAGAAGTATATGAAATTTTCATTTCTTTTATTTACACTTTTTACATCAATTTAAATTATCATCTTATTCATGTAAATGTGAGAAAATGAAACTTTCTTTTTTCTTCCTTTCTCTTTCCCTCTCTCTCTCTCTCTCTTCTCTCTCTCTCTCTCCCTCTACTACAAAAGATACCAATTTGAAATTTTTCGACACATTTGACAGTTACAAATTTCATCCATTCAGTATTTCATTAGGGAATTTAAACTATGGGAAATGATAAATGAAAGAGAGAGAGAGAAGTACGAAGACAGAGAGAGAGAGAGAGAAAGAGAGAGGGAAGGAGAGGAAGAGAAGGAAAAAGGAAACGAAATCACATTCCCAATGATTTCATATTCTTATCATCATTATCATTTCAACAATCAATACTGTTGCAAATTTTAACAAAAAAGAAAAAAAGAAAAAAAGAAAAAGTGATCTTTCTTTGCTTACCAAAATTGTTTACTTATCATAAGTTTTTCCCCTGCCTCCATCTCTCTCTCTCTCTCTCTTCTCTCTCTGTCCCTCTTTCTTTCTCCCTCTCTCCCACATAATGTGACTTTTTTTTTTTTTAAGTCTGCTAACATTGCTAACATGAACAACATTTGTTTGCATAGAATTGTTGCTCTGGACATTATGACCTTTCCCAATTATTTGAAAAAATTTTAGGAATTAAAATTAAATTTGAATTGAATTAATTCAAATAAAAAATCATTTATTCATTCGTTTTTTAAATTCAAAAATATATTCCATGCTTAATTATTTTTGTCTTCTTCATATTCAAACAAATTTTATGCTATAATCTTTGAAATTTTGAAAAAAGAAATAAAAATTCATACTACTCTTGTATTTCTTGCATATCAAATTTTATCTTTCATTAATATAATTTAATTAATTCGATTTTAGGATTTCATTTAGAAATTAATAGTTTTTGTCCGATGAAATAATCATACAAATATATGAATAATTAATGTCCAACTAATGCCTGTATATTGTTTATTTTCAATTTTATTATTTTTGGATTAATTAATTAAACCTTTCCTTAATTCTTTTTATTCTCTCTTTTGTTTACATTTTATTAATGAATTATTTTTAAATTACAAGGATTATTTTAAATATTACCAATTTTTTTTTTCAATGCAATTCAATGCAAAAATATTTTAATTAAATTTTTATTCATTTAAATCTAAAATGTTTTCAGTTGGGAAAATTTTCAATTTTCATTTTTGTATTAAATTATTTTCAATTAATTTACACGTTAAATTTTTGTTTTTTTTCTTTCCAGAATTTTCTTATTTTAATCGAAATTTCGATAAATAGTGAAGAATTTTTACGAAGACATATATTTACGCAAAAACGAGAAGAAATGTTTGCAAATTTTCGTCGATGTTTTATTCCAACATATTCACAATTATCATCTCTAACAATATTACGCCAAAATCTTCCATCATTTACGGTTTGCAATTGCAATACGTCATCAGATTTCCGGATAAATGAATTTACTGAAAAATATCTAAGCCATCGAAAGGTTTATTTTATAATTTTCACATAAAATTAGATACATCTTAAATTAATTATCATATCATCTTAATTAATTATCATATCGTTTATATTATCGGTGGTGTATTTATTTGCGCCAAAAATTTATGAAATAAAAAGACATAAAATTAGATACATCTCAAATTAATTATCATATCATCTTAATTAATTATCATATTGTTTATATTATCGGTGGTGTATTTGTTGTGT